GAAGAGGCATGGAAAAAAAAAATTATTACCGTCACAGAATAATGTGGCTCCTAGATTAAGTAAGGAAGAAAGAAGTTAAGAGTTTGCAGTTCTCCCTCCTCATCAGCTGTTAAGAAGGCTTCATCTTCCTCCAGCTCCTTCATTTGTCATATGTTGTGCGAGGGGAGAAGCCTTCCTGAGGATCCACTCAACTTAGATACTTCTCATACTTAGCAAAAAAAAAAAAAAAGTCCCTTTTCCATGTCTTCCAATGTGTGGGTAAATTTCTGCAATACAAATATTAAGTCCCCTCTGAAGGTCCAGTTACAAATGACTGACTCCTGTTTTGTTCTACTCTAAAATATTCTAATTGAAGCGATCCTTTCCTTCCCTTTCTGCCTGTCTCCCTCCCTTCCTTTCTCTCTTTCATTCCTTTTGTCACTTGTAGGGCTCAGGGCCTGAGCTCTTTTACTCAAGGCTAGTGCTCTACCACTTGAACCAGTTTTTGAGTGGTTAACTGGAGATAAAGAGTCTCACAGGGTCTTTTCTGCCCAGGCTGGCTTTGAACCATGATTCTCAGATCTCAATCTCTTTAGTAGCTAGGATTACAGCTGTGATATCTTCTGTAAGGCAAGCTCTGATACCTTATTGTTAACATAGGGATGTGCCTCCTATGGGGTGTGTATGTATATGCTTAACTTGTTATTTTTCTTCTTTCTTTTTCTTTTTCTGCTATTCTTCTTACAGGGACATGTTTCTTTACTGCTCAAGTTATAAAAGTCTTGACAAAATTAACATCAGTTTGCCCTTTTAAAAAGTACAGGAAAGAACAAGGCTAGCTTTTTCATTATTGTCAAATGCCGTGTAGAAAAATGGAAATAAGTCTGAAGAAAGAACAACAAAATCTTCACTGAGCAGTTTTAAAATGACAATTACACAACCATGGCCCATTAATTGGCTCACACTTGTGGAAGGAACAAGTAAACACACTCCTCCAACTCTGCAGGAATGAGAAATCTGAGGACAGCATTCCTGGCTATTAGCACAGCAGAAACTCAGGAGCAACAGTGACATTTCAATGTGGGATCTACATGACAGTAGAGAGTGCCAGGCCCTTCCTAGAAGCTCCAAGTGACACTGACTACAAGCTTCTTGTCAGCAGCATGGATGGTGCTTCCTCGTCCTTCATGTACAATCCCAAATCACATGGCCAGCAGCGACCTCTGGAACCAGCCCAAGGTTTTTGTTGAGTGTCCAGCTAAAAAATAGGTAGGAAGATAGCTTTCTCAACATCATCACCAACAATGGGAAAGAAGATGCAGAAAATTGCAGGCAAAGTAAATTGACTAGGTTTAAATGTGCCATTTTTCAATCTTGGTTCACTTTGGAAGAGTTTACTGAAGCTGTATGTCTTCACCTTTAATTTATCCTGCTACTCTCAGCCTCAGCAGCTCTTAGAAGAAACATGATTTGTCTTTCTAAGATTCCTAAATAAATAGCAGTTACAGAAAGAGACCTTAGGTTAGAAAACAGCCCTTACCCAGGTCTAAGTGTCAGAACACTCCACAGGGAGGAAACAGAATTCTCAGATGTGGATATAACCATGCTGAAGACCAGAAAACAGACGGCTGACCCTACCCAGGTCATATAGGACACAGAGACAGAGTATTTCCCAGGGAGGACACAAGGAGAAACCTCCTGAAATCAGACTGCTCCACAGGTCTGCCCCAACCGCCCCCGAAGGTCAGACTCTTGGAGAAGGCAGACTCCAAAGGAAATAGTTTTTGAAGTCCTGGGGAAAGGCAAAGGGAGGAAGTGCTGGAGATCAGGCTTTAAGGGTCCTCCATGAGAAGCATGAAGAGAATGAGGTTCAAGTGTCATTTAAAGGGAAGCACAACTCGTGCTGGGGGTAAGTGGCATTAAGGTCCTGAAGAGCGGCTGGGATACCGCCATGTACAGCACTTATTTAATTTTCTTGATTTATTGCTGGCATTGTATAAATACACCACTCTCCCAGATTATGTTACTTAATTAATGGAAAGGACAAACATCTACATAACATTTATGTCTGTAGCAAAAAAAAAAATCATGCCCTTCTCTTGAATTTTGAAAGAAACACATGTAAATTTATCAGAAATGTAGAAAATTAGAAAAAAATGTTCACAATTCAACTACACAATCATTGTTAACAACCCGACATTTCCCTTTGGTTCTCCTTTAAACTTGCATTATTTCCCCTCTAATTGTGATGCTACTTTTTATAATTTTGTGCTCTGTTTTGAAATAAAAATATATCATGTATTTTCTTTAGCTATTCCAAACTGTTTGAAAATTCATTTATTTATTTAGTGCTTGAGATGAAACCTAGTACTACCTTGGGTATACCAGGCAAACACTCTACCAGCTGAGCCACATGCCCTGCCACTACATCATTTAATTTTTTTTAATTTTATTTTTAGTGTTACAGGGGTTGAGCTTAGGGCCTTGTACCTGCCAGGCAGGGCTTTAAAATGAACTCTTGCACTGGAGAAAATATTTTCAGAAGGGAATCTGGGAAGTAAGTCTGGCAGGCAAAGAGAAAATTTGTGAGAAAATTGGAAGTTAAAATCTAGAAAGACTAGATAATAGTTCTAGATTATAACTGTCTATTTACATTTGCCAAGATGTTTTCTAAGGCTCCAGTCCTAGAGATTCTGGATGAGGTCCCTAACTGTAGGCAGAGCTGTTATTCAATGCAACGGTGGCCTACTGAAGAAATGGTTAAATGAGTGAAGTCAGTTTGTGAGGACCTATATCTGACAAGAAGCAAGATAGCTATATAATAGGACAGAGCAGTCTGGAAGAAATAAAGAAGGCCACTGGGAATTATAGACAACTGATTCTTTTCATTATTATCTCTTTTTTATATTTTAAAAATTGTTATTATAAAGGTGATATACAGAGGGGTTACAGTTACGTAAGTGAGGTAATGAGCATATTTCTTTTTGGACAATGTCACCACTTCCCTCGTGCTCTTCAAGTATTATTATCTTTAAGTAGTTATACAAAGTGGTTTCAACTCAACATCTTGATCAATGTCACCCCTTTCATCATTTTCTCTCCATCTTTTAAAAAAACTTTGATTTGAAATTCAGTTTAATAAATCCTATCAATTGTAGCAAGTAGAAAGTAACGTTCTAATAAACTCATATTCATTTGAAGTGGACATTTATTGAAGACATAGGTGTCTGAGTTCCATATGCTCTGGTTATAATAAAATACTCTAGAGAGAAGATAGTCTTCCTACTTTAATTTAAAATTAACGTTTTGTGTTTTAAAAATAGTTTATTATCTTTAAGTAGTGGAAAAAAATCATATTAAGTGAAGTAACCTAGTCCCAAAGAAATTTAGGTCCCATGGTTTCTCTTATTTGCAATAATTAGTATACATATAGGATAATCTTATCAGATGAGCTGAAAAGCTCAAAAGCCATGTATATCATTAGACTCAGGGAAGCCCAAAGTTATAGTTTCCAACCAGATCCTTACAGACCTGTCCATGACAGACATAACTTATGGGCTAGGGATTCTTTTTATAATAAGCAATCAATGTTGCTTAATAATACAGCTAACATTACACTTGTAGCATGTACTTAGGGGTGCGGATCAAGAAAAAGGGACCTAGACCCAAGGTCAATACTCTATAGAAAACATAATCTAATGCATACTACTGCTACCCTAGATAAGAAAGAAAAAGAAAACTTTAGGAGCACAGCTGCAGAGAACGTGTAAGATGCAATCTGCTCAAAATTAACCAGAAACTTCTGTAACAGGAAAAAGAGGCAATTAGTAACTTCAAGAAAACAAAAAGCTGGCTAATAAAACACTATTTAATATGTGGAATAATTCTAAGCATTTGTAAGAAAACCTAATCTATTTGATGTGAACATGGTACAATTCTTCCTAGCAGGGACATATTCGCTGGCACAGAACATTTCCTTCACCGAAGACCCAACCAATTTAGGAGATAATTTGTGAACAATGTTTATATAACCAGAATGACAAAATGCCTTCTTAGTCATTGGTTTGTTAGTTATGTGTTCTTTTATTTAGGATCATTTTATGGTTAAAATATAGAATCATAACTCAGTGGTAAAAGGATAAAGAAATTTCAGCCATTTGGCTCTATCTTGTGTCCCGCATAATCTAGTTCTACACAAAAAGAACCTGAGTTCTTTTATATATTGTGATACTCGGTTATTCAGAGCCTCAGAATCCTTCCTCCTAGATGTTGCTGTAAACAGGTAAGTTCTTACAAAGCCCCCATGCCAAATGCATTAAATGTCTATGTTGTGCATGAAGAACCTAATACATAGGCTTTTTTTAGTTTAGGTGGCAGTATAGTTAAACACTGAGATAAATTTTTGGCTAGCCCTGAGAATGATGAGGGTGGAAAGTAAGATGGAGCCCAAGAATAAAGGTACTGAAATAATGATCACTCAAGCAAAACTCTCTACGGCAGAAAACAATCCTAGAGAAATAGTATGGGATACAGGGAGGGACTGAGACTGGACTTCCTAAAGAAAGTATCTGTCTTTTTCCTTATTTATATTTATATGTAAAGTCATTTTCAAGTCATAAAATGAAGCTTGTTTAGTCATATCAAGTAAGTTTTTTGCCAGTCCTGGGGCTTGAACTCAGGGCCTGGGCACTGTCCCTGAGCTTCCTTTTGCTCAAGACCAGCACTCTACCACTTGAGCTATAGCATTACTTTCAGCTTTTTCTGTGTGTGTGGTACTGAAGAATCGAACCCAGGGCTTCATGCATGCTAGGCAAGCACTCTACCACTAAGCCACATTCCCAGCCCTCAAGTAAGCTTTTTATGAAAGTACTTGATAGTAAAATAAAGGATCGTTGGAATATGTTTTTAACTTGTAAATAAATATAATTTGGTGGTTCCATGAATCTTCTCTGGAACATCTGAAGCCATAGGGAAAGACCATCTTTGTGACTAGAATAAAATCCAGAAAGGGCACAACTTACTTGCAAGAGACTTTTGTTCTGTCAGCCACCATAGTCCACTGCTGCTGGTTGGTAGAAACCTCAACATAGTAGCTGTAGCTTCGGTCATCACAGTCCCAAAGCAATAACCTGAAGAAAGAGAAGACTAGACTGTCACAAGGCTACTAGCACAGGAGGCATTTAGTGTCTACTTTATCCAATAACTCCAACCTCCACCTCCTTTCCCTCCTCCCTCCCCCCGCCCCCCAATTCTAGAAATGGAGAAAGGTGAATCCCAACAGCCCTACAAAGAGATAGCTGGAGTCCCTCTGTAGCTCATCTCCTTTGGAATCTATTCACTAATCGCCTAGCAATACGTTCCTCAGACTGCCTTAGGAGGGAGTATGCTCTCCCAGCTCTCAACTGCAGTTGCCAGGGCTGACCAAGGGTAACATCTTGCAGACCACGCTCACTGATGTCTGTGCTTTCTAATTTTTCTAACTGGTGACAAAAAAGCATGCTTTTGTGACCTTTACTTATCACATTGTTTCTTCTCATTTTCATCAGTGTTTCTGCATAACTTCAGTAAGATTACTTGATTTGGAGATAGCATCTATGGGTGACTGGTCCTAGGACTACCATCCCACCCAAGGTATGTAGATGCACACGTGCTGTATATAAAATGGCATGGTAGACAACTTACACACATCCTTGGGTGTACCTTAAGGCTTGTGCAATCTTTCCCTCTGCTTTGAGACAGAATCATCCTATGTAGTCTACACCAGTGGGAACTCAATCATCTTGCCTCAGTCTCCTAAGTGCTAGGATGTGTGCCAATGTATCTGGCCTGCCATATTCTTTAACAGAAAGACAATGCTATGTAATAGTTGTATTTTTTAGGGAATAATGACAAGAAAGTGCTTGCTGCAGACAAAACTTTTTGAAAGGAATGTTTTAAAATTGGAGGAATACACCAATCCAGAATCGATGCAAGCAGAGGAAATAAATGTACAGACATTAAATATATGCATTAGTAAAATCTTTCTTTCTTTTATGTTGGCAATGAGTTTTGAATTCAGGGCAGGTGCTCTACTGCTTAAGCCATGTGTCTATCTCTTTCTTTGCTCTAGTTGGTTTTGAGATAGGGTTTTGCTTTTTGCCAAGATCAGTTTGGACTGTGATCCTCCTATTTGCACTTCCGGCTGCAGTTGAGATAGCAGGTACATACCATCATGCCCAACTTTCTCCTGTTGAGATGGGGTTTCAGAAACTGTTTTTTTTTTTTTCCTGTGCTGATCCTGGGGCTTGAACTCAGAGATTGGGAACTGTCCTTGAGCTTTTCTGCTCAAGGGTACTCTACTACTCGAGCTACAGTTCCACTCAGGCATTTTTAGTGGTTAACTAGAGATACTCTCCGGCCCTAGCTGACTCTGAAGTGTGATCCTTATCTCAGCCTCTTGAGTAGCTAGTATTACAGGCTTGAGCCTCTGGCACCTGGCTGGTTTTACAGACTGTTTTGCTTGAGGCTAGCCTGGAACTATGATCCTCCCAATGTCGGTCTCCAGCAAAGCTGGAATGATAATCAAGCACCACTTTTCAGGCTGGCCTTGAACTGTTTTTTCTCCTAATCTCTATCTCTTGAGTAGCTAGGATTATGAGTGGCCAGCTAGTAAAAACTTTAGTATTTAGGAATTTATTATATTATCTTTTCTATTATTATCTTCTTTTTCTGCCAGGTAAGAATTTAGTTATTAACAGTATGATTCCTCTCATACAAAGCTCAAAGCAGACAAAATTTATCTACTGGCTTCAGAATAGTGGTTACCTCTGGGGAAGGTATTGATTTGGAAGTGGTATAAGAATCTTCCAGAATAGAGAAAATGTGATCATTTTAATCTGAGTGGTATGTACATGGATATAGACACATGTAAATACTCATCACACTGTGCATAAAAGATTTGTGAATTTGTGTCTTTTTTCCTCAATTAAAGGAAATAGAATCTGAGTGCTGCAATATAGGGTCAATATTGCTTCTGGCAGTTCCACAGAGGATACTGTTTTCTATGATTTTAGCCTTTAAAGTCCTTCCTATGCAAGATACATGCAATATCTTACTGTATATTTTTGTCACATGCATTTGCTTCTCCTCCATGGTAGAATAGTGAGCTCCCTGAAGGCAGTATTATGTTTAATTTTTCAAATCCCAATATCTGCAACAGTGTCTTACACATAGCTCACACTTAGTAAATGTCTGCTGGGCAAATATATTCCTTTTTTTTAGAATAGTGTTTGAACTCTGGGCCTCACACTGTGAGGCTTCAACTCTTACCACTGAGCCACATCTCCAGCCCATTTTCCTTTTTTTTTTTTTTTTTTTTTGGGGGGGGGGTCCGGTCATGGGGCCTGAACTTTGGGCCTGGGCGCTGTCCCTCAGCTCTTCAGCTCAAGGCTAGTGCTCTACCACTTGAGCCACAGCACCACTTCTGGCTTTTTTCTTTTTGCTTATGTGGTGCTGAGGAATTGAACCCAGGGCCTCATGCATGCAAGGCAAGCGCTCTACCACTGAGCCACCTTCCCAGCCCCTCCAGCCCATTATTCTGTTGGCTGTTTTTTGAGATAGGGTCATGCATCCTGCTAGGTGCACTTGAGCACACTCTGCCTATTGTGGTCAGCTTTCTTTTGCAGCTGGGTTATCAGTCATGTACTGCCACATCTAGCTCTGTACTGGGAAGTGGGGTGGTGTCAAGAACTTTTTTGCCCAGGTTGGCCTTGAGCTGCAATCTTCCTAATCTCAACCTCTCAAGTAGCTAGGATTACAGGTACAGTACACTCCTTTTTAACAACAGTAATAATAATGATCATGATAGCCAAAATTTCTTTGATGTTTATTACTGCCTTTAAGACACTGTGTTAAGTGCCCTACATAATTTGTCTTAACTCCTAAGTAGCCTTTTAGCAAGTACTATTATTTTCATTAAGGTATAAATGAAAAAAGTGAGGCTTAAACTATTAAGCCATCTAAGGCCATAGTTCATGAGGGATTGATACAAGTTCTAACCTGACCCAAAGCCCACTTCTATAATCCCACTGCCAAATGTCTCCTCCATTTCCAGTTTATATGCCTGGGTCACATTTTCAACCTGTAAAAACCACTTGTATTATTTTTCATTAATCTTGCAATTACAGTCAATAAAAATCCTTTGCACAAGTTCAGCTTAATGTTACCTATAAAGCTACTGTTGAAGATTAGGACTGCTTTGTGTCCTTTTCCCCTTAGTTCTTTGTTTGCAGTGGTAATTGTGCCTGGTATCAGCAATGTATGTGTGCTACTAAAATTAGGAAAAGACTTCTAATTAGTAATCATTCTCTTCACATGATAGCTGTGTTGGAAGACAGTGCAGAGGCTGAATCCCTATTGGGATTCGGGGTTATTTCTGAAGACCACGTTTGTCACCATCCCTGTTTCTCCAGATAAGGAGTGAGTATCTCTACACAGTATCTAAATGAAAACAATCCATCCCTTTTGGGAAACTACCCAACTGGATCTCAAAATATTTCATGGAAAAAGGCTGCCTTGAGGACATGGTATACACAGAAGATAAAGAGGACAGACAATTATCCTTCAGTAGAGATTCTCGGAGTGAAAGTGATTTTGGAAGAATCTTTGAAGTTCTGCACACATGTCCTGTAAGTAGCATAAAGAATTTCTCTGTGATATTTCTTTCTTTTTTTTGGGGGGGGGGGTCTGGTCATGGGGCCTGAACTCTGGGCCTGGGCACTGATCCTGAGCTCTTCAGCTCAAGGCTAGCGCTCTATCACTTGAGCCACAGCACCACTTCCGGCTTTTTCCTTTTGGCTTATGTGGTACTGAGGAATTGAACCTAGGGCCTCAGGCATGCAAGGCAAGCGCTCTACCACTGAGCCACCTTCCCAGCCCCTGTGATATTTCTATACATGCATGTAAAGTACTTGGATCAAACTCACTCCATTATTCATTTCACCCCTTCTTTGAAAAATTTTAGTATCATTATTTTCTTTTCATATATGCACATGATGTTCTTTGATTATATTCATCCCTTTCCCTGTTTCTCTTTTCACCGTCTCCCAATTAGTCCCTCCATTTTAAACTCATGTCATTTGTTTATAATGTCTAGAAAACATGTTATATCTGTCTTTGTCAGAGTAGTTTATTCACTTAAAAATTTCCAGCTCCACTTATTGTGGAGGGGGGAAGGAAGAAATGGGGATTTAAACTCAGGGCTTAGTACTTGTACTCAGCTTGCTTGCTTTACAGGTGCTCTATCACTTGAGCCATGCCTCCAACCTGTATTTTTGCTGGTTATTTTGAAGACAGAGTCTTAAAGATTTTTCTGCCTAGGCTGACCTCGAATTACAAACCTCTGGATCTCAGCTTCCTGTGTAGCTACAACTACAGGAGTGAGCCACTGGTACCTGGCTCCAATTTGTCTTAAGGAAAATTTTATTATTTTAAAATAAAGATCATCTATATGTCATGTAAGTAATGTAAAAACATATATATAATACATAGTATTTGCACATTGCTTTTGTTTAATGATTTACTGTGAACTTTTTTGTAGTACCAAATACTCACCTACATATTTATGTCCTATGTGCTAATTTCATAATATGTCACTTATAGATGTGTCATAATTTATTTATCTCCTGTTAAACACTTAGGTAGCTAATAAGATTCCACCGTAATAAAAACTCTGTAGTGAACTGTGTGTGTGTGTGTGTGCGTGCGTGCGTGCGTGCGTGCGTGCGCGCGCGCGCGCGCGCGCACGGTAGTCCTGGGGCTTGAACTCAGGGCCTACGAGCTGTCCCAGAGCTTTTTTTTCCTCAGGGCCAGTGCTCTACCACTTGGGCCACAGCTGTACTTCTGGCCTATTAGAGATAAGAATCTCAAGGACTTCCTGCCCTGGCGGGCTTTGAACTGTTATCCTCAAATCTCAACCTCTGGAGTAGCTAGCATTTCAGGCTTGAGCCACTGGCACCTGGTGTGGCTTTGGTGTGAACATTTTTAATCATATCTATTATTATTGCCTTTGAAAGTTTCTACAAGTAAAATTCCAGGAGCAGAGATAATAGCAATTTGAAGCTTCAGTATGCACTACAATATACTTCTCCCT